TTTGTCTCTTGATTATCAGTAACCCGAATTTCTTTTTAGCTTTGACCAAAGGCTCAGATTTTTTGTTAAACATAACCAGTGTTGCTTTGCATGTTCGCGCCAGTACATATCTTGCTGCTTAGAAATCTGTAAGCAAGCATCTTTAGCTGCGCTATACAGTTGCGCATGCTCCGGGTTATTGCTATCTCTGAACTTATACATCTGATTCTTACATTGTTTTAGTTTAGTGGGGAATTGGTCTTTCTTATTTTTTCCTCATTCCTTCAGAAAGTTTCCACAAATTGCAATGCGATTTCCAATTGGTTTTTCTCTGCCGCATGACCACGCCTCCAAAACTGCCTCTTCTATGTCAATCTCTTTGAGCCAAGCATTCTCGAATCTAAAAGGTACGGGGGCATATCGAATAACACTCACCCCTAGTGATAAGAATAGAGCGGAGTGATCACTATTTGCTACCTCAAGATGATGGACCTGCGCCTTCGGAAATAGGAGGACCCATTGAGATGTGGTCAAAACACGATCTAGTCGTTCACAGACCCAATTCCTTGTATTCCTGTGACGCTCCCAGGTGAAACGACTACCCGTAAACCCCAAGTCTCTTAGTTCACATTCCTCGACGACTTGTCGAAATCCATCCACACGCCAAACTAGTTGTTGAATCCGTTCCATTTTATCTCCAAAAGAGAGGATATCATTAAAGTCTCCTCCAATACACCATGGTAAAGAAGAAGTATTCTTAAGTGTTCACATGATATTCCATGATTGTCTTTGTTGGTGTGAACCAGGAAGACCATAGAAGCCTGTGAATCGATAGCATGGAAGGCCAACAATTTCAACTTTGACATCAATAAAGTTAGTTCCGTATCCAAGAACAGTGCACATGTCTTTCCCTTTCCAAAGTAGTGCAACACTACCACTGAGTCCTACTAAGTCAACTGCTAGGAGTCCCTCAAACCCCCAATGCCACTCGAACTGATTCAACCTCCGAAGCCGGAACTTTAGTTTCTTGCAAAAACACCAAATTGGGCTGCTTATCATGGACAAAGTCCTTCAGTTCTGAAATTGTACGTGGGTTCCCAAGCCCACGACAATTCCAAATTATTGAACTCATTGGTCCTGGCGGGTCCTGGTTCGAATCCGTTTTTTGGATTCTCGTATATTACCATCGCACCCTTTCGTTCTAATTTTCTCTTTTTATCCATTGCACAGACTATACCATCCTCCACACATATTGTCGTTCCATTCCTAATCCCCGTTACCCTAACCAACCCAAGATTTTCACTTTCCATTTCCATAAATTGCACCCTCTCTTTTTTAGACCCCATCCCCAAATTTTCCGTCATTTATTCCCCCTCATTACCATTCCCTACACCCTCTTTCCTAAAATTTGCGAAATTCCCTCCCTATTTTTTAGGACGGGATCACTCCCTTCCCCATTTCTCGCACCCTGATTTTCTCGGATTTCCTTATCCATCCTGTTTCTTTCCTCCGCCAAATTCTCTGGTTTCAACCACCGTGCTCCAGCCATGACCACCGACCTCCTCTCTGCTCGTAGCCAAGGACCATATGCAAATAGTTCAGTAGTCTGTCCACGATTTTGCCATAGTTTAAGGCAAAACTTATCACTATGTCCGAGAATACCACAGTAAAAGCAGAAGATTCCTAGTCGTTCATATCTGAATGAGACTTGTATATAGGAACCCCCAGGTCGACGGATATTCATTGTCTTTTTTATAGGGTTTCGAACATCGATTTGAACCCTAACGCGCATGTAATCTCTCCAAATGGAATCGTGATTTTTTGGGTCAGCATACTAGAATTCCCCGAGTGTATTGCCAATATCCTTAACCACTCTCTCCGATCGGAGAGCGCCCACCAGATCATGTATTTAGATCCAGATTTCTAGTTTTGTCAATTCAACATATCTTGGGTTTTGTCCTGGCGGAAGGGGCTTCATAATGATCGGGCATTGTTCAAAGTTCCATGGTCCGTCTTTTAGAGTCCTAGTATAGTCCATTCCATCGAAGAATTGAAAAGCAAAAACATTGTTACCTAGTTCTTTCACCACCATACATTCCATTGGCCGGATAGCCTTTGCCAATGCGTCCTTAAAGAACTTAGGATTTATGACCTTATCGGTAAGCACTCGGGCTTCAATACTGTATTGGAAAAAAAACTGAGTTTATATTAAAGATGGTGTGGCATGACACGTGGTTTAGTTAAATGGTCAAAGCGCAACAATTGACTAAGAGGCATGGATGGAGACAGCCACGGGAAGAAGAATTTAAATAGGCACGAGACAAAGTATAGATACGAGTATCGTACCAATTTAAATTATTTACAGCCAACGGATTAGAAGGCATTAAAGACAAAGATCTGATGACAGAAAGGAGTCCAAATTCATTATTAAATACTTGATATGTTAGAAAATTGATATTTAATAGGAATGATTGTATAACGGCTTATTTAATGTCATTTATTACTCATAATTATATCATTAAAGCTGAGGCTTTATTCCTTTACCTAGAATTATCTATAAAAGGAAGAAGTATCATCATTTGTAAGGACATGGAATACTATTGAGAATTCATTGAAATACAAAATTATCTGCTATTTTACCATCATTCTTAAAAGTATTTTATTTTTGTCTCTTGATTATCAGTAACCCGAATTTCTTTTTAGCTTTGACCAATGGCTCAGATTTTTGGTTAAACAAATACACCATTGTGTGGTATCGCCATGCAAGCACTGGCTGGCTAGGTCTGCATCGTCTTCATAGTCTAAATCAATTTCTGAGTCGCCGAGATTTAAGCCGGACATGTCCTCCCACGGAGGGCTACCGTCAGTGGGGCGTGTAGAAGCCATAGTCGCCAATAGCGGATGTAGAAAGCAAGAACTCTAGTTACTAAAGAAAACTTGTTATGAAAACAAAAGGACCGCTCTCATACAGAGAGAAGAAATAAAGATAAGAGGTAGACCAACAGAGTCTGTGAAGGAATATTTTACAAGAATTGAAGAAATAGTCAAATGGTCTAACGACTAATGGAGAAGTATTGAAAGAAGTTAAAATTGTTGAAAAAAATATTGCAGTCTCTCAGTTTAAAGTTTAACAACAAAAAAGTAATTCTTGAGGCTACTAAAGTTCTTAGCGCTCTCAGACTTGATGATATAGAAGAGGAATTGGTGACATATAAGAGATTATTGAATCAACATAAAGATGAGACAGTAGAGGAGGCATCGCAAGAAAGGGATGAACATCCAAAAGGAAAAGAAGGCACGCCAATAATGACGGAAATAAATCAAGAAGGTAAAAATTCAAAAATAGAGAAGAAAAGAAGAGAAGGTACATATAATTTTTATTGTGATAGAGATTCCATTGAATGCGAAGAGAAGTCAAATAATGTTCAAATTGATCTGCCAAGAATTTCTGCCATTGTTAAAAAGAACAATTTAGTTGCAAGGGATGCCCGTCTAAAAGAGGTTGGTGTTTCACCAGAAAAATTATTTGATAGTATTGAAGATAAACCTAGTAATGAAAGAAGCAAGATGATTCATCAAGAGAAAGTTTCTAATGATCCACCCAAGTTTGAGGCAGAAATAGCTTGGGATCTAGAACCACAACAACACACTACTATAGATATCGAAAATGTAATAAAATTTGTGCCATTGTTTGAGATTGCATGTTTTAAGGAGCACGACGAAATATTTATTGACGGCATCACTCTACAACTTATATAATGAAAAATTTGGAGTTGAATGGGTGTATAAGCCCAACTACAAGGCAACTGGAGAAGTAGATGATTTCAAAGTAAAGAAAAAATATGGTGATGATATTTTGAAGGAATTTATCATGAGTAAAGTCAAATCATATATGGCCAATATTGAAGAAAAATTGAAGTTAACTAAAGATAATACCTGTGATTTTGTTGATGCTACATATTTTAGGAAATTTGTGGAGAGTCTAAGGTACTTAACTTCTACGAGGTCTGATGTTACTCATGGCATGCTCAAGTTTGAAGATCTTGGTTCAAGGGATGCTGTTGGAATTAACCCAAGATTAATTAGTATTCTTATGTCGTCAAGGATTTAGTATTTACTAGTTTATTTAATTTATGTCTAATTAGGATTCACAACCAAAATCATGTAGGAATATATTTTCTAGATTCTAGTCAAATTTGATTTTGTAGTATTATAAATAGGGGTGCTATTATATATTTTCTATTGTAGAGAGATAATTATGATGTAGAGAGATTCAAGAATTTATGAGTTGTGAAAAAATATTCTACCAAATTCTCTTCCTAATTTAATAAATTTCTTCTATATACCTTTTGCTGAATTTTTTGCTTGTACCTAAATTGTTCTTTGGGGTATTTCAATAGATCATTGATTTTTTTTTGTAGCCTAAACTCGTGTTTTAAACACTGATTTTAGTATTTGGGTAAGTCCATTTGGTGAAGAATTTCCATAAATCTGAAGTTTTTCGCCATTGACGAATTCTAAGCTTTTCAGATCGGGAATTGCTTGTTAAAAAAAGTTAAGAGAAATTTTTAGGGAAGATATTGCTTCTAGTGAAAAAATTGGAAGTTGAACAAAAGAAAAACGAAAAAAGCCAGAAGTGGCAGCATACTTCCAGCAATAACGGTAGGAGTAATGTATTCTTTTTAGCCGCTCTCATAAATAAATATATATATATATATATATAAATTTGGCGGATACCATTAATTTCGATCATCCGATAAATTTTATATTTTGCCCTAAAGGTAGCATACACTAGGCCCAATAACGGCCCAAATAATGAATATGTAGTTTTAGTTCAAGCAAGTATTTGTGGCAAGAGGAAATACATATTTTCTCCAAGTGACTGTCTGCAACCAAAAGATTAGCACTCAAATTATAGTACCAGTACAAACTAATTCAGGATAAGATTAAGGGGTTCTGCACTTCACCTCAAAACATAAAATAATTGGATATTTTAATATCATGTTGTAATATTTGGATATTTCAATGTCATGTTATCGCAGTATTTTATCATTATTCATTAATATTATAACGCGTTGTGATGACCCGCCATGTCATCATGCCACATAGGCGCCATTTGGCATATATTAATGTCATGTGGAAGCTTACATAAGAAGAAGGCTAGCATTTGTGAGAAGATTTTAAAGAAGTATGGACATTTCCTTAGAAAGAACCTAGATCCTTATGGATTTGCTAGGAAAGTCCTTGGAATCTTCTAGGCTTGTAGAGAATTCTAAAAAAAGCTTTTATCTTGTAAATATCAAGGACTTGTGTAATAATTAATATTTACACACAAGCCCCTATGAGACTAGTATATAAAGGGGGTTATTCATTTGTAATTCATCAAGCAAACAATTCAAGTTCTCTCTAATACAAAGCTTCCTTTAACAATTCTCTTATGTTCTTTCTTCCATTCTCTTAGCGATGTTGAGTGTAGTAAGGCTGACTTGACATAGCAAGAACGTGAGCAAGTTGTGCAAGATCGTGAGCGAATTGTCAAGTGCCGCACGTGTACTTAGTTAACAACTAAGGACGTGACAACGTGGTATCAGAGCGAAGGTTTCAACTAAGGGAATGGCGAACGACGGAGAAATTAACGTTGCCAACACCCAAGCCAACGTCATCCAGGATGCTGCTGGCAAGAGCGGCCG